GCCAGTCAGGTAAATGGTGCCATTTTCCCAAATGCAAGGACAAACTTAAAAACAAAATAAAGCAAATTAAAAAAATACCTACCACCCAACCATTCCTTTGCACCCCAAACGGAGCCTCTGGCATGTAAAAGAATATTTTCATTTACTGCTTTTCCAAGGGAAATGAAGGTTTTTCTGAAAAGAAAACCTTGTGTTCCTGACCATGTTCCCAATAACAAAAGTCAGACATCATTTCACGGGAAATTCATTATAGTAAAACTAAAATCCCTTAAACCAAAAATTATTTCAATATACTATCAATTCTTAATATAAAATCTACTTAACGAGTCCATTTTGATATACTGACTTCAGACAAGCACATTATAAAATGCAGATGAAAGGAGCAGTTCAAAGGCAGGAATGGGTCAGATAAATAAAGATGGCATGATCATATGATTCCAATACACTCTCCAAAAATGAGTGGTGAATATAAATGTGAAAAAATTTTAGGCTCTACTGTCTCCGTCTTTAACAAGCTTGGAAGTCCAAATTCATCTTCTCATTAAACAGTGAATATAGCATTGAGCTAGCATCCAACACGCTAACATATTAGCATTATTAACTGCACACATGTATAATTAACAGAAATATTAGGACTAATTTTTACTCTTGCATATTCCTATATTTTTAACAGCATTAATCATGAGACACTGTCTGTCCCCATTTATCCATACATGGATCACTCTGGTTCCTTATATAAGGATGAGTTATCCACCTGTGCACTACTGATTCAGAAAAGCCTTTTCTGTTCTCCCTGAAATCTCCAGATACGGCACAGATTCTGTGCAGCAAGTATGGCTTACACTGTCTTGGTCCTTGATTAGTGGGCAATTCCTGCGCCATTGCTAAATTGACCCCATGACAACTGAAAAGAGTTAGCTTTCTCTCTTAGGAAATCCAAGGGAACCCTCTTTCTTGATACAGACTATTTCAGTGATTTCATGTATGTGGTCACCACACAGCAGGTTTTTCAGAACTCATTGGGTGAGGTAGGGAAGAACAGCTAGGAATTGCTGAATATTCTATGAAATTGTAACTAAAGATGGTTATTGAGAGAAGGGGCAGAAGCTACATTACAGGTAAATAGAGCTAAGAGAGTCTCTATTTTAGAATTGTAGAAAGTTAAAAGTTCTAATTATTGAAAATCTTAGAAATCCTCCTCAGCACCCTCAGCTGAAACATTCTGCCACAGATTGGAGGCATAGCCTTTTGAGGGCAAAGCCAAAACGACTTCTTGGGGTTTCTTCTTTGCCTTCTGACACCTCAGAAGTTATTTCAGCCAAACACTTCGTCCTGTGGAGTGGAGGAATCTGGAGAGTTCAGAGACTGTTGCTTCAGAATATGCCTGATTTATTTCTTATCCACCATAAATAAACTGAGAATTATTAAGAGACACTCCATTAACTCAAAACTTTACATAGCAGCTGGAGAAACCAGCTAGAATATACTTATCAGTTGATGCCTGTTTTATGTGCATCACACGTAACTCAAAGCATGGGCTGATATTGGCTCAGGCTGCTGCTGACAGGGACCCTGTCACGTATCCCTTCTGCAGCTGACACGGCTGCCTCAGGCCTGGCAGAACAATGCACGCCAAGGTTGGCCCAGCCAAAGGAAACTTGCTTCTCCCAGGTTGTCTGAGGGGAGGGACACTGAAGCAATGGAAATTCCCCAGCAGTAAGGAGAACAAAAGAAAAGGTGTTGGAAGCTGCTGTTAGAAAGAGACAGGCTCTCTGAACCTACTGACTGCCAAACCAGTCTCCCAGGGCCTGAAAGCAGAGCAGAGAGACCCCAAACCATCCTCAAAACCCACTGCTCATCACCAACCTGTCTCTGAGTGACAGCTCCTTGTTTTTGCATAGACCTGGAAGTCTCTTGATTTCCTTCCCTGATTAAAAGGTGTGGCTGCTGAAGAAATTAGTTTACAGAGTTTCTAAATTCCTTACTGCCGCTGTCATATGTCTGCCACAGGCATATCAGCGAGACCAGAGCTCAGGGAGGAGTGTGCTCCACCACAGCCAGAGCTCTGCACTGCCTTGGGACCAGCGAATCCCATTTTCCAGCAGGAATAACTCTGCAAAGGACTCTGCACCTGGAGAGGAAGCTTGAGGAGTAATCCATATATGCTAGATTAAAATGTCTGCCAAAAATCCCCTAACCCACGCATATCCTTCCCCCCCTCCAAAATAAATAAATAAATAAATAAATAAAAATTAAAAAAAATCTGTTATTTTACAGCTTATTTTCTTTAGTAGTATGGCCATGCTGATTGTTTCTACTGAAACAAAGGGAAAAGTCACAGCTACTTATAAATTCATTAAAACCAAGAGAAAAAAACAGTGACTAACTAAATTCTCCCATTGACTGCCATGGCTTTTGGATCAGGCCCAGAAGAACGCTGGAATAAGTGGTGAAACATTTTATTTTCTAACTTTTCAGTAGCTACTGCAAACAATGGAAAATACAAGCACATACTTAGAATAACTTTATCCTTTAAAAAAATGAGGTCACACCTAAAAATACTTCCTCTTGTTGCTGTATAATTTCAGTTTATGATAATAGCTATTACACACATATAGCTAAGAGGAAAAAATAGCTTCCCAAGTACTGGGTAAAAACTTGATATTCCACATTAGAGTTTCTACTCTAGAGGAAACTTTGAAGTCTGAAAGGATTCAGCTCTTTTATTTAAATAGCAGAATGAATAATCCAATGTGAAAATAAGGTAGTAAGTAGCCATGAGATTGTCTTATCAAATAATTGCTTGGAGACAAAAAAAGTTATATGATAATGACAAAATCTATCTGAACTTTAGTTCTTCATTTTGAAACAATTTGTGTCATTATTTACATCCCTAGACAAAGTCCACACAGCTTGAATTTCCTGTGATATATACATGTGCAATTAATTTATATCTTTACTCTAGAATCCAAGCCTGAATCATCAGGCTCTGCCACTTTCTAGCACAAGGGTGTGTTTGTCCACTTATACCAGAGACTGATCCAGCATCTCAGCAGAGATATTTTTCAAGAATCTACATTTTAAAAGCATATCCTATATTCAAATTCTTCTTTCCAACTTCTGAATCTATCTACTTTTGCAGCTGTGTTGCCCTGTTCCAGATATTATCACTGCTCAACCAGAGGAAGAGTGTTGTTTATGCTAAAATCCTCATTTAGACTGATTTTCTATAACGCTGCATCAGTTCCCTGCTGAGAGCACAGACTTGACAGCAAGCAACATTCCTGCAGCCTCCAGAAAACTAACTTAACTTTTACAGATAGCTCAGTGCTGACCTTCTTGAGACATGAACAGCATTTTATTACATGTTTTCCATAGCATCATTACGTACTGAGAGAATTGTCTTGGATTTTAATTCTAAAACTGCTAGCGTGATTCATTTCTAAATACTCAGTCCCAATGTTCCTCTCAAAATATAGAGAAGCAGATGAAAGTGAATTCACAGTTGCAGTAGGAACAGAAAAACGTGCAACTGCTTTAGAAAGATCCTGCTTCTTTCTCTGGCACTGGGTATTTTACCACTGACTCTGGTGAAAATGGAGCCAGGCTAGCAATTTTCTAACACTTTCAGGCAACTATTTTTCAGTTAAAAACACAGGAATATCCTCCCACCCTGGTCCAGTTCTCAGCCGGAGCTGCAGCCCTGCCAGCACTGTTAATGTCATTGTTTGCGAAGTGTATTCCCAGTCTCGCGCACACCCACGCAGGGCTCCAGCTTCCAGCCACGATGTCCCCCCGGCACATTGTTCCAGCTCCCCACGCTTCCTCACCTCCTGCCCCATCCCCCTGTGAGCCCTGGCCCCCCACACCATTGTTTGTCCCCCTGCACCCACCCTGCATTGTTCTCCCCACCCGGGAGGGACCTTTCCTACCTCCCACTCCCCACAGTTCATGCTTTCTCACCCACTTCCACATTCTCCACACACCTATTGGCATCAAAACATTTTCACTTTTTGAAAGCACATTACATAAACTTTCATTACTACATTTCACAGCTTTTATGGGTTGTGGGCACTCTGCCTTGGGAGGCCCAGTCCAAAATATGAAACAATAAGAAGACTTTTACTTCTTCACTACAGGCTTTTGTATCAGTACTAATTTTAGGCCTGATCTAAGTGTTACTGGACTTGCAGACAGAACACGAAAGACTAGAGCAAACGTACACTGTCACCATAGAAGGAAAATACATAACGTATACAAAAAGGAATTGACATTATTATGCCCTCACAGTATACAAGAAAGGAAGTAACTGGAATGATTTACACAGCCTCCACTGTTACAATAAATACAGGTTGAATCCTTTTCAAATTCATGTAATAAGGCCAACTAATGCACTTCTCAAAAAGAGAATAGTAATAACATGTAAGTCAAGCATTAATTATAGACAGGATATATAAACATAAATATAAACATATGTGAGTGTGTATATACATATGTATAAAATGTGTGCCTTTCTAAACACAAAGTACAAAAATACTTTCATTCATTTATCAATTATGTAATTATTGATTTTTTTTTTTTTCCATTCAAAACAAATAGAAGCAGATGAAGCTATTCAGATAGCCTATCATTGTTTTGGTCGCCTTGTTTTCTATTACACTTAGTTTTGTACGAAGCTGTATTTTTCACACAGGCATACGGGACACTATAATACACAAATTGTATTCACTTCTCATTCTTTTCCTATAAGATGCTACTTTTGCTTTGTGCTACTTTCAAAAATACACTCCCGCTTTTCATGAAGTCATATCTATTAGACAAATAGTATGATGTACAAACTGTACATCAAACTTAAAGTATCAGTGAATCTTCATTAATCCTTGAGAATAAAGCAGGTAGGCATGCCCAAAGTAGATTAAGCATAGAAACAAAAATAAATACCTCAATTCAGAAACATTTAACACAGTTGATATTTTAATACACAGAAAGCTCACACTTACCATGACTGATGCGATGAAACCAATAGTATGCAAAGTCCACTCCCAGAAACGTCAAATACCATGTCCATGGTGAGTCCCAGGGCAGTTCAAAGAGTTTGTAGTTATTCCATACATAGATATAACTAACTAGGTCAACACTTCTGAATAAAACACTGAAACAGAAAACCAAATAGTTTTATCAGTCTGTTTACCACAGGAGTCTTTTTGTAACGCACATAAACTGTGCCTAAGCCTCACAATCTTTGTCAAGTAATAAAGCCAACACTGACTTCATAGATCTGAAGCAAAAGTACTACTGAGTTTTTTAAAACAAGCTCATCACCTGCATTTTGGCATGAAGCATGCTCAGTAAGCAACCATTAAGCAGTTCCTTGCAGCTGGCACAGTGTTCCTATTCTCACCTGCATGGAAGAAACTCATTAATTCTCAAGTTCGAAGTAGTGGCAATCATTTTCAATTCAAACTCAAATGTATGATTATTGTAAAAGAACTAAAATCTTTACCTTAATATTGTAAATACAATGCAGTTAGATATGAGACTGAGGATGAGTAAGAGAAATTACTAGAGAATCTTACAGGCTCAAAAACTGTGCCCACGAGAACCTAATGAGTTTTAGCCAAGGATATGTGCAAGGTGTTACAGTTGGGTTGAGGCAATCTGAGATAGGAGTACAGACTGGGAGAACTCACTGAGGGCAGCCCTGCAGAGAAGGACTTGAGGTTCCTGATGACAAAAAGCTGGACTTGAGCCAGCAGTGTGTGCTTGCAGCCCAAAAGAGGAATGGCTTTAAACTAAAAGACAGGAGATTTAGGTTAGATGTTAGAAAGATCTTTTTTACTCAGCAGGTAGCAAGCCACTGGTACAAGCTGCTCAGAGAGGTTGTGGATGCCCCATCCCTCAAGGTATTCAAGGCCAGTTTGAATGGAATCCAGGGCAGCCTGATCTAGCGGCTGGCAACCTTGCCCATGGCAGGAGGGCTTGAACTAGATGATCTTTAATGTCCCCTCCAACTTAAGCCATTATATGATTCTATGATAATTCCTTTTCTGCAGTTCCTGATTGGTTCAGCTGAGTTCAGTATAAAGTGGATTTAATGCTAGGATTGGCACAAGGAATGTGTGAGAATTCATTCTGAGGATGCCATGTGTTTCTGTCCATACCTGCTCATTTTTGTGTCACTATTTTTTATATAGGTGTTTTAGTGATTTAGTTTACTCCACAGCCCCCCAAAAAACTTGAATCATCAGAACTAAAGAGGACATATTATATTCTTTCTCTTCCAAAACCTTGTTTTACAACCTGGGAAAACACTGATATGTCTTACTGGCCATGTAGAATTGTACTAAACATTCTTGAAAATAGTCTGATCATGCACTGTCCTTTTCAATAGATGGACTGAAATAGGAGGGAATTTCAGAAAATGTTTCTGTTTCATGTCAAGAACCATGCTCTCACTGAACTTTGTGGTCATCTTTATATTTTCACAGAGACGTACATTCAGTAATTCTCTGCTCCCAACATTAATACTTCTTTCTATAATGGTATTTTAAATAAAATTATTAACAATAAACAAATTAAGCTAAAAATCCAAAGTTTCCAATATCGGGCATCAAGTGGAATAGCATTATATTCACCACATCATGCAGAGAAGATGGAGGTGGTACTCCTTGGGAAGATGAGAAATAATATATTTTCCACAGGCAGCTGCCATACCTTACCCGCAACTAACTCATTCCTACACCTACTACAAATAAATCAATTCATCTTTTAGGCAAAAACAAAATGACAACAAAACTCAAACATTTTCATTTTGGCAACAGGCAGATGAAGGATTTCTCTTAAGTTGCAATGGCAGGTGTATCTGCAACTTCAAAAAATCAACTGATCTTTGCCCAGAAGTTGGACCTTACACACCTGGAACATGTTTAATTTTCATAAGAGCTGTGTTCTATAAATATTTTTAAAGAAGATTATATGTGTCCAACCAGATTTTTGCTATTCACCTCAGGAGGCATCTGTAAAGGTTAGTATAAATTCTCAATCACTTTCACAACAGGTCAGAAGGGAGCCGATATTATTCAAACACAAAGAAATGGGCATTTCTTAACATCTTTTCAATGGCCAGGAAATTTAAAACACCTTTTGCAACATACAGTATCAGTTATTATTAGGTACTGTTTTCTTACTTTATTCTTTTGTTTTTATTAACATATAATGCCTTTGCAGTACATCCAAAGGTATGTGGACCGGTACATTTCCTCCATTTTTGATCAGCTTTCAATATTTCACCCTTGAGTCTTTTTTTTCTTTTTTTTTTTTTTTTCATTTTTTTCCACAAGCTGGGGCCAAGGTGTAAAACTTGAGCTACCCTCACAACACATTTTTTATGTGTAATTTGCTGTACAAGTCAGAATTTGCTTATTCTTTCCTTCATGCTTGAATCACAACTCTGCAACACATACCACTAGTTGATTACTATAATTAATTTGGAGTAATCCATCATATCACTATGCAATGCTGAAGAACGAGTTGCTTAGCTAAGGTTTTTTGGTTTGCTTTTTTTTTTTTTTTTTTTTTTTGAATTTACAGTGTGATAGATAGAAAAGTCCAGAGCTTGCATTCAATTACAACTCTGAAAGTTCACTTGGAGTTTTAAAGGTTTATATTGCCTATTTTTTCTCCCTCAAGTTCCATTTTCACTTCTTGAAAATACTGAGGAGAACTTAAGAAAACATTTTCCTCATTTAAATGTTAGTTTTTAACCATAAATATGACAGAAGTAGATAGCTAAGACTTTTGTCATCTAGTCCAATCCTCTGCATGAGGAGCAATAAATCCTAGAACAGAGAGACTACACAGAAAACCTTATGATATACATTATATTGATTAGTCTTCTTGGATTTTGATTTCTACTGAAAATTTTCTTATGATGTGCAAAGTATGCACTTAGGCAACTGTTTTGACTCAGAGAGATGTTTTTTGCCTCTTTGTTTCTAAAGTTCATATATACTTTATTTAAAGGTGACAATATTTGTTTTAATAAACCATTTCCCCTTTCTCCTTCCACTGGGTCAGATTATCACTTCCTCTGATTAAAAAAGTCCAAGAAGGAAATTCTGGGAGATGAACTCTCCATGTGGACATGAAGATCTACTTACAGTAGATCCCAATGGGATAATGAAGGAGGGAAAAAGGTGGAGAAAATTCAACTGGAAGAACAGGCGGCTGACTCCTGGCAAAAATAACCAGGTCCTGTTTTGCTTCCTCCAGCTTACAGATCAACCTTTGAGCCTGGAATCAGCTTTCAGATAAAGTCTTCCATGGTCCCCAGGACAGTCAACAAAAGTGAAAAAGATCAGGCAATAGCTGTTGTCTCTCTGAGCACAGGGAAAAAACTGTATATTGAAAGTGAAGTCTGCAAGGAGACAACCTAGGCTCTTGCCACTGCTGCAGTCACCACCTCGCATCACACTGGGACACGACCTGGGGCCCCTGAGTTAAAAAACACAGCTCTACAGCTGGACCTACAAAGCCTCAGCTCTCAAGAGCTTTAACAGACTTGCATCCTTGGAGGTCAGACACAGAGGGAAACATGTTAAGACACCTCGGTCAGGAGGTTATATTATCATTAAAAATAGTGAGGTATTACTAATACATTGTTTCCCTGGGTTAAACAAATTAAGTTTTCCCAGCCTGATTAAACTACATCAATGTAAAGTTTCAAAATGTTGAACAAAGGCAGTTTCTCCGCTGTAACTGGAAATTATTCAGGCTATATACGTAACAGCAGGATATATGAATAATTAAAAGCTCTGTAAGCTTTTGTTTCAGAGTGGAAAGTATAAGGATTTCCATTTCCAAAGACCTTCATAGAGCTTTCTTTTTCAGATGAAAAATTGACTCCAGTCACAATTGAAATAAACATTTTGATAACATGAATTCAGTAAAGAAGAGAAAGGGGAAGGAGGTAGAAGAGTCTATGTCTCTTGTCCATTTGCAAAGCAAAGCAAACCTTCTGCAACTGAAATCCCCTTTTATTTCCTGTACAGGTGCCAGGTTTTGAACAGACACCCAATTTATTACCTTGTCAGCTGACTTATTAGGGTTGACACAAATCGAACTGAAATATGCCTGACATACTGCAGTCAAGGCTTTTTTGACACTTTAGCATAAAGCCAAACTTTCCACAAGATGGAGGGAAGGGGAGAGGGAGCTGTGGGAGTTCTATTCCCTGTTTTCTATCATCAAGATGAATATGATCCTCTCCCATTCTTAATATGCAAAATCAGTCATGAAATAACCTAAGGCTAAAAAATAATTCACCAAAATGATACATCTGGGAAATGATTATCAGGCTCTGGAAAGCCCTTGATTACAGGAAATAGCACCTACATTTTGAAAAAATGTTCCCACCAGACACAAAAGCTGAATCAAAGTCTCTCCTCTTCCTCAGTATGGCTTTCTTCTCTGGCATTTTAGTCTAAATAATGCAAATCCCCGGTTTTCCTCAAGTGAAAAAAAAAAAAAAAATCAATTCCAAAGCAAAGTGAAATAGAGGTAAATTTGGTATTCCTACTAGCTGTGTTACATAGCCTATTAGTCAAGATGTCAACTGACAGAGCTGACCTGTTTTTCACCAGACCTGATCCTGCTATACTTCTTTTCTTGTCCTCCAATTCAAGACACTAGTATTAACTTCTAATAGTGGGTGGTATCAAACATGAAAAAAAAACAGGCTTTGGAAGCAAAAGGCAGCGTCATTGTTCTTAATATCTCCTGCCTGTATAATTTGAATCATTTATTCTTTTCTTTGCTCTTTCATACATAAAGAAGCAATCAATTGAAAAAAATCAATATTAAATACTTAAAATATTTTCTTCAGAAATTCCACTGCCTTTCGTGATACAACCCATGGCAATAACACCTCCCATACTAACTTACTTTATATGCAGTCCTTTGGTAAACATATGTACAGGTTATCTTTTAAAAATTTTGAATTCTGTAATTACTTCTGTACACCTGTACTTCTGACATAGAAGCTTGTTCTTCTTCCTATAGAATAATGGAAATTGCATTTCTTAGATCTACTTATACCTAGCCAGAAGACTTAGCAGTAAAATGTTTTCCAGTAAATTCAGGATATGCAGTGTT